ATGGCTCAGAGCTCTCCTGAACGGAACAGCGCAGCCAACTCCTGCTGCTGGCAAGGGCTGAGCTCTGAACCCAGCCATGGTGCCCAGTAAGAGCTGGGTAGTGCTGGGCAGGTCTGGGGGAGGGGAGCTGGTTCTGACTCCCTCACTGAGGGTTTCAGCCCCCGTTTCATGGATGATTCAGTGCAGCCCTCCCAAGAGCCCTGGTGTAGCTGTTGTGGTGTCCTGCATGTCAGAGCAGTGCCCTGAGACTGCTCTGAAGGAGCCCTGAACCTCTGTCCAGGGAGTGGAGGGGGGGATTCATTCCCTGTGGGAGAGGCACCGTGTTCCCTGTCATCACATTCATCCCTCTCGGCCCGGGATCCAGCACTGAGCGTTGGGTTTTGTTTGGCAGTCGCTGAGTTCTCTGAGGACCTGGTGTTGAATCTGGAAGGAGCTCGTTCCTGAGGCCCTGATGTTTGATTTGTGTCAAAAGTGACGTGGACACAGGCCCAGGGCAGTGCCTGTCCCTGTGCTGGGCACTGCTGGGGCACCTCCAGTGCTGTTTGGGTTGTTGTGTGTGTGGAATACACCTATGGGATCGTTGTGTGTATGGGGTCACCAGGAGAGCACAGCTTTGCTGACCATCCCAGTGTTCTGGATGGAGATCTCCACTACCCAGAGCTTTGTTCCATGGAGCAGGTGGAGTTGGGAAGGGCAGTGGTGGCTTAGTTAATTCCCATCTTTTCCTGGCATGAGGGGATTCAGTGCAGGGTCTTGGTAAGGTCTATAGGAAGAGGAACCTTCCTTTTCCTAGTGAGAAGCAGTAGGAAAATGCAGAATGTAAGGAGCCATGAATTTAGTCCGTGTGTTTTTTAGGAAGAATTTAGATGGAACGGGGTGTGTGGAAATCCCTCTCCAGCTGAGCCTGGCCCTGCAGGTTCCAGCCCCACCTCCAGGTACCAGCCTTGCTCTGGCAGAGCTGCTGACTGAGCATGGAGGTGTCAGAGCTGAGGCTCTCACCACTTCCTTCCTGAGCTGTTCTCACTCAGTCCATCCTCACAGTCCCAGCCCCCTGGCCTGCTCCTGTGCTTTCAGATTATCTTCCTGTGGGTTCACACCTCCTCCTCTGCCAAAGGATCGAGGAAAGGAGTAAAACCCGTAAGTGGGCAGATTATCTGGTCAGTCTGGGAATGTGTTTTCTCATGGCAGTTTCAGCTCTGTTAAACCAGAGATGGGACTCTGTGTAAGCAGTGATTTCTACTCACTGGGGAGACCTGGGGAGCAGAGGGGGTAAATGTCCCACTGTTTGGAGGTTCAGCAGCCCAGGACACGTTTCACTGGATCACAGAGCTATTCCAGTTGGAGAAGCCCTCCAAGATCCCACAGAGTCCACCCTGTGCCCGATGCCCACCCTGTCCCCCAGCCCAGAGCACTGAGTGCCACAGCCAGGCCTGCCTGGGACACCTCCAGGGCTGGGCACTCCAAACCTCCCTGGGCAGCTGTGCCAGTGCCTGACCACCCTTTCCAGGGACAAATTCCTCCTGCTGTCCCCCCTGCCCCTCTCCTCTGTGCCCAGTTTCTCTTTGCTGTGTGTGTTTCAGCACCACTGGTAACACAGGTCAGGTTGTGTCTGTGCTGCCCAGGGCAGAGCTTGGTGTATTTTCAGGGTGAAACTGTGGCTGTTCCCTTGTCCTGTACATAAAATGTCCCTGTGTGGACTCTCAGCCCCCTCGTTCAGTGTGAGGCTTTCACCCCAGTGTGTGTTGTGGTGCAGCCCCTGGGAATTGCTGGCACTCTGGGGATCTCCTCAGGGATCTGCTGTGGAGCTCTGGCTGCTCCTCCCTGGGTTGGGGAGCCAGGAGGGCTGTTGATTTAGTTTGAAGTATTTCCAAAACGGGGGTGAAAGCTTTGATGTAGGGATGAGATTGTTGTGGGGTTGGGGTTATCAGTGCTGCAAAACACACACCAAACTACTCCCAAAGCAGCCAGTCCTGGCAGTCGAGGTTAGAGGGTGGTTGGTTTGGGTGTAACTTTTAATCCTCTCCTATTTATATGATGTTAACCTTGTCCTTCAGGGAGGTGCTGGAAGTGCAGCTGTCTCTGTTGGGAATTCCTGAGCCCTTCCATTTTACTCTGGACATTGGGAATGCCGGCAGGCAGGGTGGCCAGAGCAGGAGGATTCCTCTGGCTTGTGCTGCCAGAGCTCGTCCTGGAACCTGGAAGCAGAGTATGGACTTGGAGCTGAGTTCAGCAAAACCATAATATAAAATAAAATAAAAGAGATGAACCAGAGGATTGCTGAGGTTGAAAAAGCCCTTTAAGGCCATTGAGCCCAGCCAAGGTGTAAAATTAGGAAATATCTTTTCTTCTTATGATCCTTGGAACTGGAAAACAGGATTGGAATGAGATGATCTTTAAGGTCCCTTCCAACCCAAACCCAATCCATGATTCATGTTTTTTGTCAACAAAGAGCCCAGTAGACCATTTCACCCCCTAAGGAGGTGTGATTTGAGCATCAGTGACCCCATCCCCAATATTTGGCTTCCCCTGCCTTGAGCTGACACCTCTCAGCATTCCCATCTCTGCTCAGGGAATGAAGGGTTCCAGTACCCAGGGCTGGCACCTGCTGGTTTGTTCTCTGGCTCCTCTTGGCCCAGCACAGCACAAAGGGACTTCATAAACCCTCACTCTTAATTCTCAAATGCCTCTCAAGCCCAGTCCTCTGGCAGACAGTAGATTTTATTTATTTACACACAGTAACTAAAAATGGCTCCAGTGAAAGATGTGATACAGGATTACAGGGCAGAAGGGAGAGGAGGAGGTACTTCAGTGTATCTGTGTTTTTAAGAGCCTCTCTAATCCTCGTTCCTGGTTCTTCTGGCTCAGCCTGTGTGGCAGCAGGGAGCTGTTGGTGCAGCTGGAGGTGTGAACTGCTTTGTTTAGCTAAGGAGGCCGAGAGTTAATACTCAGTAAGTTTCTTGAAGAGCACGAGATGACTCTTATCAGGAGGGTGCGAATTAATCTCGGCCCTGGGGAGCCACGCGGGCCGTTTGATGGGTTTCCCCTGTGCTGGTGGTTGCTCAACACAAGAAAACTTTGATCCTGAGTTGGCAAAGCCACGGTGGCACTTGAGGACATGGGTTAGTGGTGTCCTTGGCAGCGCTGGGGGATGGCTGGACTCGACGATCTTAAGGCTGACTTCCAATCCAAATAATTCCATGATTCTAGGAATGTGTCCTGTGGAGCAGAGAAACCCAGGAGAGCTGGTTGATCTTGCAGAGTGACCCTCTCAGGGCGGCCCAGCAGCATCTGCAGGAGCCAGGCAGGGGTGGCAGGAGGCCAAACTGAGTCCTGCTGAGCTCAGCTCCGGGAGCAAGGCCTGGGGACAGGTTACCTGGGGACAGGTTACCTGGGACAGGTGCATGGCAGCACCCTGGGGGCAGGCAGGGATATCATGGGAAAAGCTGTCCTTGCTCCCTGTGCTCACTGATGAGGTTCCCTGGTCCAACTGGGCGTTAATTTGCACCGTGGTGGTGAAAAGTTAATGAACTGAGGTGTTGCTGCTCGGGGTGTGAGCGAGATGGGGCTTGTCAGGAGAGCACAGTGCCCAGGAAGGAAGGAAATGCCCAGTTGGGTTTGTGTGTGCCCTCAGGCAGCTCGGGAATGCACTCACAGCACCGCCTCATTTCTCCTCTGCTTTTGCTGCCTGCAGTGAAGAGGTGACACTGCAGATGGAAATGGAGATAAACTTCATTTCTTGCCCTCACCAGGCTTCAGGCTCATGGTGCAGAACAAGCTTTCAGCTGTAGCTCCTGGGCTAGTGGAAGGTGTCCCTGCCCAGGGCAGGGGATGGAGCTGGATGATCTCTAAGGTCCCTTCCCACCCAATCTGTTTTATGGTTGTCTGTTGCTCTGAAAGTCAGGCTTTAACATCCCTTACCAAGAGATTTACCAGGATGGGGCCCTCAGCTGGAGCTTCCAGAGCTGCAGATGCAGCAAAACGTGGGGGTTTTGTTCTCTGAGCAGGCAGATGCTGCAGCCCGAGCAGAGTCCTTTCCAAGGGAGCACGATCTGCAGCCTTGGGGATAACGGGGTGTTATCCCATCCCTGGGGGGATGGGGAGGAGGTGCAGGGGTTCAGGACAAGCCCTGGGTCCTGCACAACCGCTGAGCAGAGGAATTGAAAGTGTTCATTTCCTTCTGCAGAGTCACTCGCTGGGTTTGCAGGGCGGGCACTTGTGGTTTGTGTCTGGTGGAAGCCCTAAGTCAGGGCTGGGGGTTGATGGGCTCAGGGCTCGGGTCAAAAGCTGATGACTAAGAAGGAAACGAGGCATTTCCTGCCCATCCCCCAGCACAAATAACTGCTTAAAATATCCAAATGACGTGTGGTAACTGGCATCTTCCTTCAGAAGCCTCAAACATCTCTCTGGCCACTCTTTCAATTCTACTTTTGCCTCTCAGTGCCCTTGGAAGGAGGAGAGCGATGCTGAGGGGCTGGGATTGTGTTTGGCAGTTTACAGAGGAGCCATTTCCATGGACCCTATTTATGGACTTTTAAGGCTGACCTGTGTGCAGAGAGTTCCAAACAGCCCCAACAGTGCCAAACCCCCCATTCCCTTCAGCTCCTTTAGTCCTTTCAGCCAAACTGAGTAATAGTTCCGGCTCGTGGATTTGGGGTTTTTGGGGAGTGTTGGATCTGAGGTACCTCGAAGTTCCTGGAGCATTCCAGGGTGGGCAGCTGATGGTTAGGGGGCTCCCCTGTGCTGTGGAGCCTTTAATTCTCCACAAAGTGCTGCCTCACATCCCAAATAAAAGCTGGGAATTGCCCTGAGGTCCTTGAGCGGGTCCCTGGAGCCCCCCTGCTCCCTGTGTCCCTCAGGTGGTGGTCATGAGGTGGGAGAGGGGCAGTAGTCCTTCCTTTGGAGAAGTCCAAACCAGCAGCTGTGGTTTTTGGTGCAGCTGAATATTAAAAGTCAAAATGCTCATGAGTAACTTCCTCTCTCACTCTGCTTTCGCTCGCCAGGTCCTGGAGAAACATCCCAACACACCTATGAGCCATAAAGAGATCCTTCAAGTTATCCAGAAAGAAGGGCTTAAGGAAATCAGGTGAGTGGAGTACCTGGAGTAAAAGCCATTGCTTCCAGCTCAGTGTGGTTTGCTGTTAACCCCCATCTCCTCAGGATTTTGGGGACTGAAATGGTGCAGATTTGGTGTCTGGGTCCCATTTGCAAACAAGCCCTCAAGTCAGCAGTGCTTTTCTCCAGGGGAGCTGGAGGAGGGTCATTCCTGATTCCCAGGAGTGCAGGACTCCAGGCTGCAGCTCTTTTATAGGATAACCCAGACCTGATCAGGTGCTTCAGGCACTGGGGTAAACACAGCAGGTTTTTATGTGTTTTTTTGAACAAGAAGTGAATTGGCAGTTCAGCTGAAGCTTTGAAATGACCCAAACCAAACTCAGAGCCACCCAGGAAGTATCGAAGCAGCCTCAGCTCAAGATCCTGGTGTGGAAAACTTCATGGCTGGTGCTGTTTCCCCTGGAATGACCTGGAGGGGTGTGTGGTTCTGCCCTGGGGACCTTCCTGCTCCCACAGGGTCAGGCTCTCTGGGCAGGGTGCTGGGCACAGGAGGGTTCCAGCTCCGTGGTTCCCGTGGTTTGGGCTCAGGGCAGCTCCTGAACTGCTGTGGGCTCAGCTGAATTCCAGAGTCAACTGTCCTTATAAAGTACAACTGGATTCCAGAACAACTGTCCTTATAAAGCACAAAGTGTTTCTCCTGTTTCCTAAGAGCAAAGGAAAAGAGAGGGGGGATAAAGAGAATTGGCCATGCCTGTTCTTCTATTTTGGAATTAAACAGCCATCCCAAATGTGCCTCAATCATGTCTGCCACTGCACTTGGCCAGTTAGACCCAGCAATCCACCTGCTTTGCAGGAAGCACTCAAGGGCCCAGTGCAGGTATTAAATTGGTGTAATAAAGCTTTATTTATGTTGAAACCTAAAAGATTGTCCCGTTTTAAGCAAATACGTTGCAGTGAGGGCCAGTGCTTGTGGCTGGGCTGGGGTTCTGGTGAGTCATAGCCCATGACAAGATGGGCTTGACACAAATCAACATTTCTTAAAGGAAAACTGTTAAGAGAAGGAGGAGAAGCTGTCAGGGGAGCAGGGGGAGTTCTGCAGGTTGTGGAGGTTCTGGCAGAGCCTCTGGCAGCAGGTGACAGCAGTGCCCTGCCCTGGCTCCTCAGCTGGGTGCAGGGTGTGTGAGTCAGGTGTTTTTAGAGGTTTTTGTGTTGTTTCTCAGTGCAATTTGCTTTTAATAAGCCAAATTGCAGTTTTCTTGACAGCAAAGTACTTCCACAAAGCACCTGGTCCTTAAACTCTGCCAGCTCCTGACTGCAGGGGGTGTTTGTTGGGCTTTACTCACCATCCATGGCCTCAAATCCTGAGTTGCATCAAACTCTTTAAAATCACTCATTTCTAGAGTGAAAACAATTGCAGAAGTGACAGGTGACCTTCCCCCAGATGTGCTGGGGTGAGGCAGAGGGAATGGGAGCCCAGGTGGTGTCATTGTCCCGTTTGCAGTGCAGCCAGTCCATCTGCCCTCGGTGATCCCCGGGATGTGCTTGGGCAGCAGCTGCTCCTGGAGAAGCTCGAGGGAACAGGGGGGAGAGTTTAGAGGACTCAGAGCACTGGTACTGGTGTAGAGGGTTTGGAATTGCAGGGAAGAAGGTGAGTGTGATAAAAACCAACAGCAATTGGGGGAGCAGAGGTTTCTGCTACGTGCAGGGCAGTTTGGCTGATTTTTGGATGAGATTTTTTTTTTTTTTTTTTAGCAGAACAGAAACCCAGGGTGACACTGGCTGGTTACCTCACCTGTATTTAGGGTTTTGTCCTGGTGCTCCAGCAGTTTTAGTGGTGACATTTTTAAAGGTCAGCCCAGGGCCAGCACTCTGAGGAGCCAGTCGTGGAGCTCAGACGAGCCTTTTGCCTGACTTGTCATGCTGATTGTCTTGGCTTGCCTGTTGGCCAGGCTGCCCCAATCCTCTGAGGTGCCATCCCACCTGCAGGCAGTGCTTGCAGGCTGCACAAGTGGCATCCATGTGGCCAAGCAGGGCAGCGTGCCCAGAGCAGTGGGCAGTGAGTCAGCAACAGGGAGTCACCTTTGTTTGAGGAGGAGTAGCTTTTGAAATCCACATTTTTTAATCTGTCATTGGATTTCCTTGGATCTCCTTGGGTGTGTTAAAATCAGTGAATATCTCATCAAAATTAGCATTTTGAAAGATCTCTCTGCTGGCTTTTTCTCTTGATAGCCAGGAATGTTTGGTCTTCCTTGGATTTTATGGGAACACTGCACGGCACCATCCTGTGAGCCCCTGGCCAAACACAGGGACCCAAATGCTAGTCAAGAAGGAAATCCATCCAACCCCATCTCTGCAATGAGAACAGACCTGGTGCTCTGGCCAGCTCTACTGCAAATATTCTTGGAATTCCTAACATAAAACAGAACTCTTAAACCACTTTTTGGGGAAAAAAGGCACAGAAGGCTTATTTCCCATTTCACTGCTGTGTTTGGGCTGGAGAGAGAATCAGAGAATCCCAGGCTGGTTTGGGTGGGAAGGGACCTTAAAGCCCATCCAGTGCCACCCCCTGCCATGGGCAGGGACACCTCCCACCAGCCCAGGTTGCTCCAAGCCCCGTCCAACCTGGCCTTGGGACACTTCCAGGGATCCAGGAACAGCCACAGCTTCTCTGGGAAGGCTGTCCCAGTGTGGACTGGAGCCAGACCCCACCCCAGGGAGGTTCCCAGTGCTGGACTGAGAGGCCTTGGATGCCAAGGGATATCTGGGGGAATAATTTCTTCACCATAAGGGTGATGAAAAGGAGGGAGGATTGTGGGGCCTCCACTTCTGGGGCTGTTTAGGGCTGGACTGGACAAAGCCCCGAGATCTGTGATGCAGTTGCTCCTGGAGGTTGCCCTGGGGGTCTCCAGAGGTTCCTGCCAGTCTGGATGACCCCAAATGCTGGGGCAGGGTGGCCTTTGGGCCTCAGGGACATGGTGTTGTCTGAGGGCTCTGTGATGTCTTTAAGGAAATCTCTCTGGAAAGCCTCTGGTGTAAAGTACAGGTCAGAGCTGTGTTTGGGTAAATGCCTGTCAGGGGGAGTCCCAGGGACGGTTCCAGGTTAATGTTTAACGGGGTCACTGGGTGTGTGGGTGTCACCTCTGGGCACTCCTGACTGTCCCCCTGTTCGGGGTTTTCTGCTCTGAGCCAGGCAGGGGCTTCTACCAGGACATTTCCTCAAGTGAGGAAAAGCTGGAGATGGCACTTCTGCCCCTCGAACACTCTCCTGGCACCCCCAGCTCCAGGCCACGGTGGGTTTTGGTTCTGGATCATGAACCTGTGTGTGTAGTTGGTGTCTGTGCTCCATGGGGAGCCTGCTTTGTTCCCTGTGGAGCACACAGGGAGCACCTGAAGTGTGGGCAGGACACTGGGGGGGATCCTGGCCCTCTGCCCCACTCAGCCCCCTGCAGAGCTGCCCCAGCCCTGGGGAACAGCAGCACAAGGACGTGGAGCTGCTGGAGACAGCCCAGAGGAGGCCACGGAGATGCTGCCAGGGCTGGAGCCCCTCTGCTCTGGAGCCAGGCTGGGAGAGCTGGGGGGGCTCACCTGGAGAAGGGAAGGATCCAGGGAGACCTTGGAGCCCCTTCCAGAGCCTGGAGGGGCTCCAGGAGAGCTGGAGAGGGACTGGGGACAAGGAGCATTGATGAGCGCTGCAGGAGTCTGAGGGCTTGGCTCTCTCCTGGCAAACCCTGGAGCTGAGGCCTCAGGAACCCTCAGTTCAGGGTTTCTCTTCAGTATGAGCTGGCTCGTTGTTCTGCAGCACAAACACAGAGGGGGAACCCAAAACCACTGGAACTCTGTGCCCCAAAAACCATTGGAACTCTTAACTCTGTGCCCCAAAAGCCTTAGGGGAAGGGGCTTCCCTTTTACTCCTCCTTAACAATCAGGAACTGCTGATTTCTGCACAGTCCCTGCAGGGTGTGAACAGCCCTGAGCAGGATCTGGGGACACTGAAAGGTGGAGCTGCTGCAGTGCTGGGAACCTGGAGGTGCTGCTTCCACCCTGAACCACGTCTGAGAAAGCCAGGGGGTCCTGCAAGGGGGTTATTCTGATCCAGGGCTCGGCACTTCGGAGCCCCTGATGTTCCTGCCGTTGTCATTACAGACCGTTAATTAAAGGCATAAATTAGCCCAGCTTCAGTGTGTTCCTGAGAGCTTTACAGTGTCCTCCAGGCGTTTAAGGTTTGGTTCTGGTGGATGGGGGTGGGGGGGTTGTGTGAATTAATGATGAGTCCATTGTTTTGCTCAAGTTTTTAAAGGGGTTCTTTCTCTCCTTTTTTTGGGTTGCTCTCCACCTCCAGAAGGTAAGACTCACTTCTGCTTGTCCCAGAGCTGCTCCTCCTAATGCCACCTGCCAGCCCTAATCCAGAGCCCTGCTTTGCCCCCCTTAGCCCCCGCTGGTAGCCCTGGTTGTGCCTGCTGGCCCTGCCTGCCCTCCCTGCATGCCCCTGGCATCCCTGCTCCCAGGACACAGCCTGGATGGTGCCCGGCTCCTCGCTGTGCCTCCCGCCTGGCCCTGCTGGTTTGGGGTGAGGGGGTGCTGGGGTTGCATGTGGGGGGTGTGCACCTTGTCTGGGGCCACTTGTGGGGGCGCTGCTTGTGGGGGAAAAGCCAAATTTAAGCTGAGGAACGAGCTGCTCTCCTAACTCTGCCTGTGTCTGACGGGGGAGGCTGTTGGCTCTGCCTCTGCCCTGGCACTGCCACGCTCCTGGAACCAGGGACCCCTAAACCACATGTTAATACCCTACTAAACAGAAAGCTGTTGGTGTGAGTGCCTGGTTCACGTGGAGAGTGGGGAAGAAGGGGATGCTGCAAAGGAAAAGAAGGGGAAATGCTGCCCCCTGAGCAAAGCCCGGCTCCTGGGGGAGCTTTGTCCAGCCCTTCCTGCAGTGAAGGTGGGGAGTGACTCTCACTGCTGGATCACTGGGTATGGTTTCACCAATTAGGGATTGCAGTGTGGAAGGGATGGTCCAGTGGGATTGCAGTGTGGAAGGGATGCTGGTCCAGTGGGATTGCAGTACAGGAAGGGATGTTCCAGTGGGATTGCAGAGTGGAATGGATGTTCCACCTCCTTCCTCCCCTTCCACAGGCAGCTGCTGGGAGCAGAGTCCTCACCATAACCTTCACTTACCGCTCAACCCCCTTTTTCCTGCTCAGGCTGAAGAAGCTTTTGATTTAGTGTGGGGTTTGAAGTGTCCTGTTTGAAATGTTGACCTAAATTTGGGATTTCTGGGAAGGAACACGTGGTATGTGTGTGTTGGGCTGAAATGCTGGGAAGCTTGGAGAAATCCTCAGTGGGGGAGAGCTCGGAACATCCATTTCTTATGCTGTGGCCTGGCCTCACAGCTGCCTCTTCCCACAAGAACCATCATTACCCTGGTTTGGCCCTTCCAGCAGTCAAAATAAAGTAAGGAATGTGCCTGCCCTGCCAGCACAGGGACAGTCACTTGCTGGGGATCACCTTGAGATCAGTTCTCCACCTCATTAGTGACAGTGTGCACGTGGGAAATGGTTATTTTCAGAATTGAATTCATATTTGCAAGTTCCCAAACCCCTTGTTCAGTCAGTAATGTAAGAAACGCAATTTGTGTGTCAGTCGTGGGTTTATAAATTCCTCGAGTCTGTTAAATTGGTTATTTTTGGCTGGCATTAGAAGGGAATCATTGCTAACCCCTCATTTCAGTGACTGGCAGCACCAGGTTGCTCCAAGCCCCGTCCAGCCTGGCCTTGGACACTCCCAGGGATCCAGGGGCAGCCACAGCTTCTGTGCCCAACCTGTGCCAGGGCCTGCCCACCCTCCCAGCCAGCAATTCCTTCCCAATATCCCACCTAACCCTGCTCTCTGGCAGTGGGAAGCCGTTCCTCCTCGTCCCAAGTGCTCTCCAGCTCTCCTGGAGCCTCTCTAAGCCCTGGAAGGGGCTCTGAAGTTTTCCTGGAGCCTCCTCCTCTCCAGGCTGAGCCATTTTTGGTTCCAGCTTAACCACTGGGTTGATTCCAACCTAAACCGTTTTGCCTCTGCCAGAGGAGGCTGCGAGGGGTGGATTTGTGTCTCCCCGGTTTTTCCCAAGCTCCAGTACCCTGGGAGCAGGGATAAAGCATCAGTTCTGGGGAAGTGAAGTGGCTGACAGCTTCCAACAGGCAGCAGGGAGGGAGTTTCCCAGTTCTGGGCTTTGCCGAGCTTTTCTTTGGAAAAGGAAAAGCCAGGAAGTTTCAGTGTGTGCTGGGAATGCCATGGAAACCAAGTGAGCCTGGTAGAGGCTGTCAGAGCCTCCTCTGAGTCTCCCAAACTCTGGCAGAGGGATGTTCTGGGCTTTAATTTTAATACAAGCTCCTTTTGGTGCCCAAATCCAACTGGATTTATCAGCCTGTCCTGATCCCAGCCCTCAATCCCAGGATTACTCAGCTGAGGTGGGAACCAGTGTAAACAATAGGACACAGTTATCTGGATTGTCAGTGAGCTGGCCTTGGCACTGGATGATTGCTGAAGATGATCATCCTCCTCATCACCACAGCAGTTAACACAGGTTTGCTGTCCCTGAACATGCAATTCCCAGCTGGAATAAAGCTGGGATGATGCCCTGCTGTGAGTGCAGCGATGAAAGTGCAGCTGCAGAGGCTTTTTGTCCCAGCAGCACATGCATTTGGGAGCAAACTGCCAGGGCTGGGTGTGATTTGGTGGGGTGTTTTTTCAGTTTGGAGGTTTGTATGTCTAATTTGGAGGTTCCTGTGTCCAGTTTGGAGGTTCCTGTGCCACTGGAGATCCAGATCAGTTCAGGTGGGAGCTGCTGGTGGTCCTGCAGCAGCTGCCTGGAGGGGCTGGTCAGGCTGGTTGGAGCTGGGAACCACCCTCCTGCAGCCAGAGCAGGGCTGGGAGCGAGGGACAGTCATGGAAATGGATGGTTCCCACCAGGACTGAGTGCTCACCAGGACTCGCCCAGAAAGGCAGAAAGGGTGTGAAGTGGCCACGGATCTTCTACCCAAATCCAGCCTATTTTTTTTCAAAGTTAAGTGGGATTTGTCAACTAGTTTTAACTTTAAAAAATTCAATAATAACTTGTGTGACAGGCCCAGGTAGTGTTTGATTTGTGCCAGGGATGGGCACGTAACCTTGAGAGGGGTAAGCATGAGAAAAGAGTGAATTAAAAATAAGAAGCTGTTAAACAGGGAGTGAGTTCAGGAGGAGCAGTGGAGAGGCCAGATGAGTAAAGCTTTTGTAAAGATGGGTCCTGCCAAGGCATCATTCCCTTGGGGAGCTTCCAGAGCACAGCTCTGCTGTGAAATGCTTGGCTCAGCACTGAGGCTCTGCTCTGGTGCAGTTTTTAAAAGGATGTGCTTGGTGAGGTGCAGGTCAGGCCTGTGGCAGAGCTCTCCTGCCACCCTGAGGCTTCCTGGGAATGGGAGAGATTCAGAGTGATCCCTGCTCTTCTGCAGGCTGGGAGTGTTTGGGAAAAAGGCATCAAATCCCCCGATCCCAGAATGGTTTGGGTGGGAAGGGACATTAAAGCTCATCCCATCCCAGCCCCTCCCATGGGCAGGGATGCCTCCCACTATCCCAGTTGCTCCAGCCTGGCCTGGGACACTCCCAGGGGTCCAGGGGCAGCCACAGCTTCTCTGCCCAACCTGTGCCAGGGCCTGCCCACCCTCCCAGGGAAGAAGAATTTCTGTCCTTCCCCAAAGCAATAAATGCAGTGGAACAGGATTTTACTGCAGAGCTCAGCTATGCTTTGCTGGGTCTCACCACTGGGATGGTGGATCCAGCCTGTCCTGATCCCACAGGGAATGGTGCCTTGCTCTGTGTTCCCTTTGCTGCTCCTGGGCAGAGCCTGGAGCACCAATTCCTGCCCAAATCCTTGGAGGGCTGTGCTCATCCCACCTGTATTTCCCTCTCCTCCCAGGGCTCCTTTCACCCTGTTTAAGGGGATTTTTGAAATGTTCTGGGTTTACTCCAGGCACAGCTGTGTCTCCTGCTCAGGGAGTTCTCTCCATCAGTCACAAATTCAGGCTTTAGTCAGTTTGGTGGTCCTGGTTCCTGAAGGGTTCCCTGTTTCTGTGCAGGGCCCTGCTCAGTCCTGGTGTGCTTTGGGAGCAGGGACAGCTGGCTGGGGGAGGCTGTGATCCCCCTGTCCCTGCAGTGGGAACACAGGTCACCCGTGTGGCTCCTGGGTTTGCTCCTGCCTGCAGCAGGGTGGGTTTAAAAAACCAAACAAAAAACCCCCACCAGTGAAAAGACGGATCTTGTGTCTCCACTGTCCTGCTGGGATCGGAGATCTCCGCTCTCTTCAGGGGAAATTGTGGCATTTGTTTCCATTCTTTATCCCCCAACCCTCATTTTCATGAGACGGGGGTTCTTTTTTGGAAAAAAGCCCCCCAACACAACACAACACAAAATCCCCGTGCAGCCCATTGTCAGCTCACCCCAAACCTGCCACACGAGATCCGTGGAGCACCCAGAGCCCGAAAGCTCTGGGACTGGGGTCGATGTTTGGCAAAAACAAGTCTTGGAGAGCCTGAACGTGGGGGCTTTTTTGTTTGCTTTTGGACACGTGGACCAGCATCTCTGTCGCTTGTTGTGGCAGCCCCAGCTCGTGTTCTCCTTGGGTCTGGAATCTTTGCGCCTCTGCACGTGTGTGAGGGTGGGGTGAGGGGCCCCCCCAGCAGGAGGGGAGCCCCCAAAGCCCCCCAGAGGCCATGAAGGTGGTGCTGTGTTGCAGCGGGACGTCCCCCCTGGCCTGCCTGAATGCCATGTTACACACCAACTCCCGCGGAGAAGAGGGGATCTTCTACAAGGTGCCGGGACGCATGGGAGTCTACACCCTGAAGGTGAGTGTCTGCCTGGGGGTCTCCGTGGAACGCTCAGGGGGGACTTTGGTCTGCTTAAAACTACGTTGGGTTGGGATCTCAGAGTCAGTGAGGCTGGAGAAGCCCTCCCAGCCCGTGGATCCCCCCCGTGTCCCATCCCCACCCTGTCCCCCAGCCCAGAGCACTGAGTGCCACGGCCAGGCCTGCCTGGGACACCTCCAGGGCTGGGCACTCCAAACCTCCTTGGGCAACCCCTGCCAGTGCCTGACCACCCTCTCCAGCAAGAAGTTCCTCCTGATGTCCAAATAATCCAGCATAATCCTGGAGAGGGGACTGTTCCTCACTGGCAGGAGTTGGAGTGTGGATGTTCCTTGCAGCTGCTCCTGAGCTCCTGGGTGTGAGGGCACAGCTGGAGGTGCTCCTTGTTATCCCAGGGTAGTTGGCTGATATTAATCACTGCCCCAGAAATGAATGAGTAATTAAAATGCCAATGGGACTTCAGCCCTAAAAGGGGTAACTTCATCTTCACTGCTCTCAGCTTGTGTGTAGAAGTAAAACAATCACCTTATCCTCGGTCTGTTGGTAAAACAGAGGGAAAAATACGGAATGATTTGGTTGGCATCTTTAAAAATAACCTGTGTTTTAAACACTAAAAGGAAGCCTCACACCATTCCTGGTTTGGTGTAAGCTGTCTCTGCAGGCTGTGCCCAGACCTCAGTGTGGGGGGTCCCCACAGGGACACTTTCCCTCAGCTCATTTCCTCTTTGACACAGAGGAATGGAACCAGAGAGCCATTAACACTGACAACCCTTGTCACTTTAATTGGCCTCAGGTGTGGAAGTCACTCCTGGCTCTGGTTTCAGAGACAGGACAGGGAATCAGTTGTCTCCAGGTCCAGGGTGAGCTGTTTTTGAGGTGCTTTTCCCAGCGGGCACGAGCAGAAGGGATTCCCTGTGGGACACACACTGTTCCAGGGTTACATCCTGCTGCCTCAGGCAGGGAACACTGAGCGGGTCACTGGGTTCCCAACGATTATTTGGAGTGATGGCATCAGTTCAGCTTTGGCTGAGGGGATGGCAGAGCAGGGATGAGGGTTGGGATGGGCCACAGTCCATCTCTTCCTGGCTCAGCACCTGTGGGTGGTGCCCAGAGCTTTTTGGGTGGGAGAGCAGGGGGGACATGACCCCCCACAACTGGACACCTCAGCAGCAGTGAACAGGCTGCTGCTGCTGCTGCCAGTTAACCTGCAGTGGAAATGAGTGTTGCAGTCGCTGGATCCACTGGGATAAGCACTAGAGGGCAGGCTGGGGTTGGTGTGGGTGGGATGAAAGAGCTGCTGTTCCCTCTGAGGCTCTTACAGCCTAAACCCACAAGTGAGGGCAGGTGTTTCACTGAATCCCTGGATCCCTGAGGTTGGAAAAGCCCTCCCAGCCCACAGAGTCCCCCCAGTGCCCCATCCCCACCCTGTACCCCAGCCCAGAGCACTGAGTGCCACGGCCAGGCCTGCCTGGGACACCTCCAGGGCTGGGCACTCCAAACCTCCCTGGGCAGCCCCTGCCAGTGCCTGACCACCCTTTCCAGGCAGAAATTCCTCCTGATGTCCCCCCTGCCCCTCCCCTGGCCCAGCTGGAGGCCGTTCCCTCTCCTCCTGGCCCTGTTCCCTGGGAGCAGAGCCCGACCCCACCCCAGCTCCCCCCTCCTGTCAGGGATTGCAGAGCCAGAAGGTCCCCCCTGAGCCTCCTTTTCTCTAGTCTGAGCCCCCCCAGCTCCCTCAGCCTCTCCTCACAGGATGTAAGGACCACTCAGAAACCAGTGCCAGGTGTGATTTCCCAAGGCCCTGTGTTGGCAGGTCAGGAGGGGCTGCTCTGGTCTGGTGAGAACAATATCCCATCTGCCCCCCTCTGGCACTGGGAAGCCGTTCCTCTTTGTCCTGTCCCTCCGGGCCCTTGCACTGGAGTTGGTGATCAGGGATGGAGAAGTCAAGGAAGAGCAGGTAAAGCCACCTGTGAGTGATGATGAGAGTGGTGTTAAGGACGTGTCACCTGCATTAAAGTGTTTTAAATGGACACCCAGAGGGCAGCAGAGTGTTTGAGGGCAGCGGTGAAGCAGCTCTGGCTTTGCTCTGGAGCATCAGAAAACCCCCAATAGCTCCTTGGTGAATGAAATCCTGGCTGTTCTAAGGGGTTTGCTGCTGGCACTGTGGGTGACTCTGTTTGTGTCCCCTTGCAGAAGGACGTTCCAGACGGGCTGAAGGAGCTCTCGGAGGGCTCAGAGGAGAGCAGCGACGCCCAGTCCGACTCGCAGAGCTCCGAGCACAGCAGCAGCAGCAGCGATGGCTGCAGCAACAAGGACGGGAAGAAAAGCAGATGGAAAAGGAAAGGTGGGTTCCCATTTCGGGAGGGGTGACTTTAACCCGGTCTGGGCAGGGAAGGGCTGCAGGTTCCTGCTGTGCCTGGGTCTGGTTTTGGCCCTTCCACAGCCCAGCACCCTGGGCTTCACACCCAGGAACTGCCACTCTGCTTCTCCCGGGCTTTCCCTGCCTTCCCCCCGTTCCCTGGGAGAGGGTAAAGCCCGGGAGGGGAACTGGTGGGTCCTGCAGGGTTTGGGCTCGAGCCACGGACCGTGGTCTGTCCTGGTTTGGTCTCCTGTCCCTCCCAGAGCAGGCACTGTGCAGGTGTTGGTGTTGAATCCTGTCCAGGCCCAGCTGGGGCAGTGAGTGCTGGGCCTGGGGGCTGCTCAGGTTGGATGGTCCAGGGAGGTTTCTGCCATGTCCAGATCCTGGCTTTTCTATGGAAGTAGTGCAGGAGTGCCAAGTGAAGGAGAGGATGGATTTCACTCTCTGTGGTGAGTCCTGACATCCCTGGGCACTCTGGGAAGGGAATGTCATCGTCACAGGGTGCCCTGCCCTGCTGCCTCTCACTGTTCCAGGCACAGCAGTGCAGTCTTTATTAGTGAGCAGCTGAATTCCCCTCCCTGCCCAGGTCCTGTCAGCACCCATTCATTTGACCAACATCTGAATTCTCTCCTCCTTCAGAGCTCTGCTCAGATACTTCAAATGCTTCTGGGCTGCTGAGATGCTCTGAACTGAATTAATAAGAAAAAAGCCCTGACACACTGTGAGGATGTGGCATGCATTGTTCTGGGAACAGGGGAGACTATTCACTCTAGTGCTGTTATTCCCTGTTAAAAAGGAGTGTTCCCTCACTGCCAGGTGTGTGAGGGAGCCTGGAGCCTCCCTGCAGGCAGGGGCTGCAGCTCTGGGTGGCCTGGAGAGCTGGTGCTGCAGCTGCTCGTGCTGGAACTTTACCCTTCAATCCAGTATTTTCCTTTTCCTTTTCTCTTCAGTCATGCACAGAATTTCTTGGCTGAATCAAGACATTATTTAAAACTCATTTCCAGTACAATGAGACACCTGAGTGGGAGCAGAGAGGGTTTCTAAAGCTGTTGCAGGCCTGCACTAAGCTGCCAAACCCTGCCCTGGTGGGGAGTCACTGCAGGAGAAGGGGCTTCTACTGCTCACCTGGAACCACAAGACAATAAAAAGAAGCATCATGTAGAATTTTAAGCATTTAAAGCACCATGAAAGTACAAAATCATATATAAATGTAAAAAAGTATAAGTACAAAAAAACCCCCTAGGAGTAAAACTTGACTCCAGATCTGTCCTTTGATGGGAAAGCCATAGATAGTCTGGCTGAAATATTTTCATTTCTAACAAATCCTCTCAACATATTTGGTCAATGAGGGTTTTTTTGGGCTACTTTCTCTGCACCTCCAATGTTATGATATTAGGTAAAAACCTGTGATGGAATTCATGCATCTTTTACGGAGATCTTTATGTAGAAATCCATGTAATAGGTTTTATATAAAAGTTTTGTGTATCACAGTGTTGAATGGCTGGAAGGGCAGGAGGGACCCAGGTGAGAAGGAATGGAAATCTTCCCCTGAAATGGCTGCTAAAAGTACCCAAACCCAAAACCAGACAGGGGGAAGCAAATGGGTTCAGAATAAATGGAGAAGAGGGGGTTTGCTGCTCTGTGGGGTCTGGCACTGATGGCTTTTTTTAGGAGTGGATTTTGACCTTTAGCACAAAGTCACGTTTTACAGGTGTTGCTGAAAATCCAGTGGTCAGTAAATTAGGAATGATGAGGCAATTAGAAGGTAACTGTGGTCAGTGTTGTCACTGAGGGTATCCCTGTGCCAGGGCTCGGGTATGAGGTTCCTGTGTGTGAGCAGCTCTGAGTCACTGATGAAGGTCCCCCTTCCATGTCACACCCAGGCATTCCCACTGGTCGGGATTCCTCCCCCAGCTTCCCTTCCCGGATTCAGTGCAGAACAAGCTGTGCTTGCTGCCCAGAGCAGGAGCAGTGTCCCTGTGCCAGGAGTTTGGAGCTGCAGTCACCTCCCCAGGGGGTTTGTTGCCTCCCTGCCTCGCTTCTCTTGGTTCTACCAGGGCAAGTGGCCCTGGTGGACCTTTCTGAGCCTGCCAGGGACACTCCCTGAGCTAAACACACACATTCCTTGTTGTTTCACCCTCCCAGGCACCAAACTCTCCCAGCCCCAAGAGCTTTCACCTGTGCTGTGCTGGCAGAGCCCTGAGTTATGGGGCAGGTCTGGACAGCCCAGATCATCCTGGGCAGAGGCTGGGCCTGGGCATCTGTGTCCAGCTCTGGCCCCTCACACAGGAGACACAGGGAGGGGCTGGAGCGTGGGCAGGGAAGGGAACAGAGCTGGGAAGGAGCTGGAGCAGCAGGAGGGGCTGAGGGAGCTGGGGGGGCTCAGCCTGGAGAATTTTCACTGAGGGAAGCCCCCAGTTCTCCCAGTGTAAGCCTCTCGAGGTGCAGCCCAGCTGTACTGGAGAGCTGCAGCCTCAGACACAGGTATTAAAGAGCTGTGCTGGAAGTGTCCAAGGCCAGGTTGGGCAGGGCTTGGAGCAATCTGGGATGTTGGGAGGTGTCCCTGCCCATGGCAGGGGTTGGCACTGGATGAGCTTTAAGGTCCCTTCCACCCAAACCAGTCGGTGTTTCTAAGAAGTCCACAGGGTAGAAGATTACCTTTCATTTGCGGTATTTCATTTCCTTTATGATTGGGAAGGATTCCTTTGGTTTCCTCCAGCAAACACTGCAGTTTGATGATCTTGGTACATATAAAACCTAACATTTAATATCTAGAAAGTTGCCATGAAGAACAGAATGAAAGCAGAAAGTGGCTTCAACTGGGTCCCAGCCTGGGTTCATCTCCCCAGCCTGCAGTCAGGGATGAGTGGAATTGGAAGTGAGGGAATGTGCAGCCCCAGGAGCCCTGGCAGTGACATCCTGACATGGGAGGATCAGGACACAGAGTTAATTCCAGCAGGGATCCCTGAGGTCCTTCCATGCCTTTTCCTGCTGGTTTTATTTTCACTTGGTTCATTTATTTGCTCTTCTTTAACCAGCAAGGCATTACATTCCAATTAGGGAGATTCCTTTGGCGAGGAGCTGTGGAGCATCAGCCCTGGAATGCAGCACTCCTACACTGCCTCTTCCTGGGCTCTGCCGACCTGGAACACAGTAAAAAAAATCCCAAATCCCGCAGTTAAATTGCAGAATAGCCCAGACTCAGCTGGAATTGTCCCATGGCACTGCTTGGCTGCTGATCCTGTGTCATGGTGGGGTTTGGAGCATCCCCTCAAGCCTTCGGAATCCCACCCATCCCAAGCAGTTTGGTGGGAAGCAGAGCTCGGCTGGTTGCTTTTGCAGGGACTGGGGAGGGCAGTTTTATTGTGAGAGTAACAGAGCTGAGATAAAAATGAAGGCAGTGAGTGCCAGGCGGGGCAGGCAGGGAACAGGAGCTTCAGCTCCGCTCCGAGGCGTCGACCCGAGCCCTGCGAGACGGCGACCTCGCCGAACGTGACGGGGCTTGTGCTCATCCCCACATCAAACAGGAAGTGTGTTCAGATAACATCAGCAGCCACTTCCTTATATGTGCAAAAAATAAAGGGCTCCGACAGCAGCCAAACTGACACTTTGATTTCGGGAGGGACGGAAGCCTCGGTGCATCTGCAGCCCCACATGGGCCCCGGCCGGGGACGGCTCCGGAGCCAGCCCCGCGTGCAGGAGGAGCCTGGGAGCGGCAGGAATGTTCAGGGAGCAGCTCTGTGCTCTGCCCCGTGCAGGTAAGGGAGGGGCTGGCTGTTCCAGCGGGGAGATCTGGCAGAGTTCTCCCTGCAGGGGCTTTTGGGGTCGCTCAGTGCCCATCAGAGGTGAGACTGACCCTGCTGTGGGGCCTTGAAGTGAAAGAGCTGCCTGGGGTCATCCTCGCAGTTTGGTGGCCAAAACAGCTCGTTTGGGACACAGGGCTTGTGGAAACGGCCTCAGTTGCACCCTGGGGAGGTTTCAGTTGGATACTGGGAACAATTCCTTCCTGGAAAGGGCTGTGCAGCCTGGGCACAGCTGCCCAGGGAGCTGGTAAATCCCCATCCCTGGAGGGGTTTCAGAGCCCTGTGGATGTGGCACTTGGGGACATGGGTCAGTGGTGGCCTGGGCAGTGCTGGGGATGGTTGGACTCCACCTCAGAGGGCTTTTCCCACCAAAACAATCCCGTGATTTTGAAAGGATGCTGGTGAGACTCTTTGGGTTCTGTGGTATTTTGAGCCATCCTGAAAGTTAAAGTGTAAAAATGCCTCAGTAAGGTGCTTTTAGCACCATCTCACAAATGTTTTGTAGGACAAGGTGCAGGTGGATGCTGTGAACATAAAATACAGTTGCAGTCATGGGTCTCCTCCAGCAAAGCCCAACCCAAATTTCCTGTGTAACTGGAAGGGAAAAGGGGGAAATGAACTGGGCAAGATTATGGATAATCCTTCTCCATTGGCCAATGATCAGCTTGTCTTGAATCTTTATACAACTGGGGGGTCCCTCCTGGCTCCCAGAAGTTTGTTTAACCAGATCAGTGTTCAGAGTGAACAGTATATTTGGCAAAATGTCAGGTACTGAAAATAGGTTAGAAGATTTGGGTTAGGTTAAAACAGGCTGTGACCATAAACTCTTGCTACCCGAGGCAGCCAAGGAAAATACCTGGAGTAATTGAAGTCCACACTGTGTTCACTGCCAGTGGCTTGGGAAAATGGGAATAAGGGCTGAATGAAACACTGTTCTGCAGCTGAGATGTTGTGCATTATCGTGTAGCACAGAGGTGACCCCTGGGAGTCCCAGGAAGGCCAGGTCACAGCTGGAGGGTGGCACCTCTTACTGCGAGAGCTTTGAGGGGCTCTGGATGTCCCCAGCAGTCAAGCTCTGCCCAGGCACTGCTGCCTGCCCGAAACAGCTGCCAGAAACCACTTAAAAAAAAGAGTTCTGTTTGGTTTTGTCACTTTGTTTCTTCCTGCTGAAGATTTGGTAGA